GTGTGTATAGGTTTGCGTCTATGTGCGTAATACGTATGCTTTGTGTGTGTGTGTGTATGTGTGGTGTGTGCGCGTGCATGTGTATGCGGGTGTATATATTCGTATTTATGTATGGAAATATGTGTATGCGGGTGTATATTTCTGTATTTATGTACGTAAATATGTGTGTATGAATGTTTTAATTTGTAAATTTTCGTTTGGAGCACAGCAGAGTCGTGAACAGTAAAGTATGACATACGCACATAGCGAACGAGAAGTACACGATCCTTCACCCCGAGTAGATATGTATTGAATTTTTCTTTTGTATTTTATCGTTCACTTCTCGAGGATACCCTATAGCGAGCGGTATTAACAGCAAGGCTAGTACAAGAGACTGGAGTACTTATTTGAGGATATTCAAGCCACCAGTAATCCTAATGGAAGCTGAGTCACGATATGAATTACAAACTCGAATATACACGTTTTTATTGAATCTACAGAGGACCCAAATGTCTTTTTTTACACAGTTGATAAATATAATGAAGTTTGTTTATCTATAATTACAGAGTCGTTGTTTGATTTAGAAAACTATGATAATTACATAAATAAAATTCCTCAATCCCAGTGGATCTTCTTTAATCTAACTGAGATTAAATAGAGAACAGTTTCGTGATGCGCTCAGAGTGTGGCGTTTTGGAGGATATTAAATAATTGTTTCGCTGATTACTCACTACCAACGTGGTACTTTCAGTGTTCAGCTACATCAACGCTCAAAATATCTTAATCCCGGAGCTACATAATTAAAAATCGAATACGGACAATTTCGTGATGCGCTAAGTGTAGTGATTTGGAGGCGATTGGATAGCTGATTCAAGGCGGCTACTTGGTAAATACACGAAGCTTTGCAACGACTAAGTAAACGGTAAACACTCGTTGATGGGATGCCACTACAGCCAACCAAAAGATATATTTAACTGTACATAATCATGACATCTGACATTAACTGTAGCCTCCAGAAGAGGATGCTAGTTGCCATGTCTCATATTTTCGATGTATTTACACGATCAAGACTCCTAGAACTCTTTCAAAAAATATATATATAAACCATAGCGGCAGCCGGCATAGACTCGTCACTCATGAAGAAAACGCTAATTTATAGTTTCTATATAAGAAAAGTCCAAACTTTCTATTTTTAGACTGCTACTCATAATTCTATTTTTAAATGTTTTTCTATTTCTAAATGTTTTTCTATTTTAGACTGTGTTTTAGCGCGTGTGTCAGACTGTCAGTGCTCACTGCTCACTCACCGAGTCACTGGCCTTCACCCTTTGTCTTGACTTGTATGTTGGCGACTGACAGTTGACACAAACCCACATTTGCGAACCGGATTATTCTCATATAAATACTGACAACATGTCTTTGTATCTAGTACATACCTGGGCGGATTCCTTGGAGCTCATGCAGTCCAAGGTTTAGAAGGGAGGTGTTCGCCATTCGCACTGAGGCTTACGATCCCTTTTACACATCGACAAATGTCTTTGTGTGCGTCTGAATTCGTTTGATACGGTGCTTCGGCACCTCTCAATCGTACCTTTCCACATTCATAATATATAGCAATAAAGCACTTGTTGGCACTCAGCGGAGATGTGCAAAAACCTCGGAGGATGAAACTAGGTTCTTTTCTCCGTACACCGATGGTGTTCGGTCTTGCGCTTTGAGTTGAATACGGAAGGGGCTGGTGGTCATGGTCGCTTCCATATTTAGAATCATGAAGATAATACAAGGAAAACCTGTGTGAACCATGTATATATAATATAGCCTTTTACATAGAACAACGGACGAGATTGCGACTGTCCCAGTGATAAACTATTTAACAAAACTAGTTAGGAATTGATTTATTGTACACCGGTGCAACTTGTATTCGAAAGGGACACTTTAGTTGCATGTGACTTGTTACTTGTTACCAACGCATGCTACTTCGGAGTGGATGTTGTTCGAAGTACCAATGAACCTGTGCACTTGTCCAGGTAGAGACTTTTTAACAGCCATAGTTCCATGGTTTCTTTTGTAACACCTGCCACAATCGCCTATTATTAGCTGCATATTTTTGTGCTGGTACATTGGCACGCGTGTGCTGTTAGTTATTCTGTAAAAATATTTTAGAGTTCTTTCAGATTGATGCACTACAATAAGAATGGCACGCGTGTGCTGTTAGTTATTCTGTAAAAATATTTTCGAGTTCTTTCAGATTGATGCACTACAATAAGAATATACAGCACAGTACAAGGTGATCGTCGGAACTAATCGTGATCGTAAACGGTGCAAATTTACTTGGGATAGCAAACAGGCACGTGATCGTAAACGTGCAAATCCTAGTACATGCACCTCGACATAACTATTCACACACGATGCAAGTCAAGTACGTTGGCCTGTAGGCGTCGTTAATATAGTTATAGTGCCTTTCGACGTGTTATACGCATGCCCTCTCTCCCCGCTTGTATGAAGGATGTGATTTCACCAGGTGAATATATATTGGTTATTTCCCTCTTGTTTTAGTCGCCCAACAATGACAATATAGCAGTTGGGAGAATGAACCTCGGCGCCTGACTGGAATCCTCCTTTCTTGGCGCTTTCATGTACGCAAATCACCTCTACACTTCCGTACGTTCGGTAGGTATATCTTTATATCTTGGATGTCTGCACGATTCCCGTTCACTAACTCGGTTTTGTCACTTTCGTGGCAAATGAACTACTACTAGCCAACAGTACAGCCAACCACTCACTCGTATGTCTGAGTGGGGATCTGGTCAAGAACAAGATACTGTCGACACCTCGCGTAGAAATTAGAAAGTCGAAAGAGTCACAAGTAGTGATTCACACGTTATAATGAAGATTGTAGTATTTACACAGCACTTACACGAAGATTCTCGATCGTCGCAGTCTGTCAGTGCGTTCAGTGTATGTTGTTCTACAGATGAATTAACATTTGCATGTGCCCTTGCTCCGACCCGCCACAAGGCACTTTTGTCATGCGTACTTAGAAACAAGGCAGGAATCAGGGACTTTTGCGATGAACGGCGTATGCTTTTCCCGATTTCAGACCCGAATTCCAGTACAGCTGTCAAGCAGAAATCCGGTACAATATAATGCCAATAGGCGTCCACTCTCCGTACACTGCAGCTTTTTTGCACCTACAGGTGGGCCGTGCATGCACATCCAGTGTGCGCTTTTCGCATAGTTCTGGTACATCTTCCAGTGGGTACCGCTGCATTGAGTGTGCCATTACAGCACAGCTGCTCACTCTGTCTGTCTGTCTCTCATGACGGGGCCACCCTATTGGGTGTTAACCTCGCGCATATCATTTGTCCGCATCTCAGTGCATTGCCACCCCTTCGGAAGAGTGCTTTCTGCACAATTCTAGGCCCTATCTGAGTGCAAGTCACACTCGAGTGGTCCACGTTAAACCAATTGTATATATATATATATATATATA